TATTGCTATCGGCTAAAATTTCGCATGGTTTACTGGCACATGCAACCAGGCGCTTATCATCAAAAACATCATCTACATCGTTGTTAACCTGGTGATGCAGCTCCGGTGTAAGCGGTTTGGTTTTAAGTGTACTCGGTTTGAGCTTGGATGAGCGACTGTCGATGATTGAGCTACGATGTCGTTCCTGGACTCACAACACGTGACCTTGCCTAATGACGTGGGTTTGCATTACGTAGACGATGAGACGACAAAGCCGTTCTGACTACATTTAGTTGGTTCGTTTGAAGAAGCCCATTATGGGTGCGCCTAGGCGGTGCGCCCAGGGCGGCACGTGACACGTGGCCGCATTTTTATTACTGTCGTATGTTGGATACTAAATACAAAGCATAAATTATCCGGATAAGCTATGGGTTGGATATGTTAATGTTACTCTGTATGAGCAACAACACATTTGCGCCATTTGCTTTGGCACATGCAAACGTTCTTCTCAGTGACCTTATTTGTTCCATAGTGGTCAGTTTCAACACATTCATCTCAAAATCCCAAGCACACAGTAGTTTGTATCGAAAAGTAGTGTGCTCTTTACCGATCGTTTGACCTACACGCGCCTATGCTGCCCTCAGTAAGAGTGCTGTTTACCACCCCTCGGGTGGCAAAAGTAGTCGCCACTATTCACAGTACCAAGCGGCCCATCAACGGACGGTAAGTTCCTAGGCTGGTGAGAAAATTCGATAAAACCAGGAGCTTGTGCGACGCCAAAAGGACAGGGTGGCCTCGGATCAACACGAATGACTTTTCTGCTGGTGTGGTCATTCGTGAGGTGTTTAGAAGCTGCGATCTGAGCATTCGCAAACTCGCCCAGCATTGTGACACCACCGGATATGCTGTCTATAGGATTTTGGAGGAAGGGCACTTCCGAAGTATAGCGCTCGTCAAGTACAGGTTTTAAACCCATGATTCGGAGAAGCGGCTTCATTTTGACGCAGGTTTTTGAGTGCCATAGACATCCATTCAATTCTTTTTACCGATGGGGCTGTTTTCCGTTTGCACGGTGAGTAGAAGCAACAGTTTTAGGCAACGTGCAATCCACGAGGATGCAGCGCTTCATGTATACAATATGGCGCAAAGCCCATGGTATGGGCTGAGTTAACTGGCCTAAGAATCGTGGGACCATTTTGCCTTTCAGGTACTGTAACCGGCAGGTTTTTGTTTCGCAGTACAAGTACCTTACGCTTTTTAGTATCCTGGTACAAGGAATTATTGCAAAATTGTGTCCTTCCGGAATTGGAAGCCACTAAGTTATTAAGTACCATTTGATTGCAACAAGATGGTGTACCTGCACACGATGCACAGGTGGTGTGGGATTTTCTCAAGCAGACGTTCCCTTGCCGTTGGATCGGGCGAAGAGGACCTATAGAGTGGCCTGCTCGGTCACT